TTATTAAAGTAAAGAGAAAATAAAGAGAAAGTAACTAAGCTGATGTCCTGTCCGTTCGTTCACCATACAAATACGCTACAGTACATTAAAACTACATTAAAACATTACTAAATTTTTTTTTACCCCCCCCCCCCCCAACCGCTACAAAGTTTTCTGCGGGCGCCCATGCACACAATAAGTCAGATATGACAGGATTGAGCTATCAGCGTATGGAATCAAAGAATTCAATATTGCCTCCAGACTATTTTATCTTTTTATGTTCCTTATAATCATTGAAAAAAGGTGTTAGGGAATTGGGCAAAGAAAAGAAGTTGATCAATTTCAAACATACTAAATTTTAGAAACAATTTTTTTGTCATGTATTAGTGGATTTTTGTTTCATAAAACTCCACACATTCACCAATGTGTTATAGCTATATAGGATAGGAAAATATGTTTTGTGCAAAGTTCACAACTATTTAAATTGTTATGAAAAATTAAACAAAATGATAACATGATAAAGACATTAAAGCTGATTTGTTTTTTTTAAACATTAAAAATATAATTTTAAAAAAAAAATGGTCTTTTTAAAAATATATAAAATATTTGGTCAAATGGCAGAAAAATATAGCTATAAAAATACACCGATTTTTTTGAGCCACCAAAATGTCCACAATTGCCTATCTAATATATATATATATATATATACACCGGTATATATGTATATGACAATATAAAATTATTTTTAAAAAAAATAACCAGAATAATCATGAGACATCAGAAATTTAAAAAAAATCATATTTTGAACCATTGCTCATGAAAACAACCAGTATATACACAGGTAAAGCTAAGCTGGGTTAAAGCCTTTCACTTGCAAGGCAAGTAGTTTTTGTTTCAACAACAATAGTGCATTTCTTTGTACCACACAAAAAAGATTATTGGTAAAATTGATTCTGTTTGTAAAAAGTTTTCAGAGCAAGTCCATACCATTCAGGCGCACGGCGACAAAATTACTTTATAAAATATCGCAAATCGTACTTTACCCTTCACATGAGAAACTGCCCGATCTTAGTGATTATATTAATGGATAATTAATAATTCAAACCAGGAGCCAGAATGATCAATAAATTGATTGGGGGGGGGGCAAAAGTATAGAGAAAAAAAAGACACTTATAGGTGGTGTTTCAAGTCTACAATGACAAGATTTAACAATGATCAGTCAAAATTGAAGGCACTTTCCATACAAAATTAGATTTTGATGTTTTTGATTGTAGTAAATGTAAAATTCAAACACTGGTTCGTATTCACAAAGAAAGCATCCCTTTGCACCTTGCTAAGCACCAGAGTATAGTAATATCTATATTCTTTAATCTTCACCAAGCACCAAAGCTTGTAGCTAAATAAAAAACTCTATAGCAGGGTAACCTATAAAATTTATGCTATTCAATACTGGACTGGGAGCAACCGCCATTTTTCAAGTCTCATTGTTTGCCACAGAGATGAAGGTGGGATAGATAATAAAAAAAATAATTGTGTAATTATCATTACAAGGCAGGCTGCATAGAGACAAGGCAGGATGAACAGAGATAAGGAACACTTGAATATAAATTTATATTAAAAAAAAATATTGAAAGAAGTGAGGTTCTTGGTTCAAAAGTTTACATAACTCATTGCTATAGCAAAACAAGAGTCATTATTTCAAACAGGTTACTCTTAGCACCAAACATGCATTGAAAAAAAAATATATTGCTTGTTTAGATAATAATTGTACAAAGCCACTTTGTGGTTTGCTTGTTTACGGCTATACAAAGCGTCATCTCTTTTCTCAAACAATTATAATGGTCCCCTGATTTAAGATCTATCACCGGGTATTTAAGGAAACAATTTTTTTTAATGATCTAAAAATGTAACTGGTGTGAGCCCGGCAGGTGGGGATGGGCTAGAGCATACGTCCACAGTGTGACATCATTTACATGACCAGCATCATGTTGGTGTAAACTGCATCCCTTGTGCACTGATTAAGGCATATTATTTTATGAGGCAACAACTACGAGAACAAAGTGCATATAAGAAGGGCATTCAACTTCCTAAAGCGGTTCAAATTTTGATTCAACAATTCTAAAGCTGGATATTTCAAATTCGGCCACCACGTTTAGGAGCTGGGTGGTGTTTGTTTTCTGTTGTTCTATCATGGCAACAAACCAGGTCATGCCACAAAACAATTTCTTGAAACAAATACAAATCTTCAGGTCACACAGATAATGCAAGACACCAGGGATGACATCAATGTGATAGCTCTCTATAGTGTTTCTTCGGAAGGTGGAGCCAACTGGTTTGGCTGGAAGGTGAAGCTCAATTGTTAGGTTGCAAGGTGGAGCTTCAATGATTGGTTGGAGGGTGGAGCTTCAATGCTGGGTTTGAGGGCGGAGCTAAATTGCTTAGTTGAGGATGGACTAGGTTAATTAACACTGGGGGTGGTAACAGCATTGCATAACTGTAAGGGCGTCATTCCAAAAAAAAAAAATCCTTTGTTATTAATAAATACGTCAACTGAAACTGTACAAGAACATAAGCCCAGGTGTCCCCTAACCTTTCAAAACCTGATTCACCCCCGAATAATACAACTTTTGTTGATTACTATTAATATGTAACTTCATATTACCTCCAGCTGGACTAACATGTTTGAATGATGACAAATAACTTAAGACTTACAATAAAGAAAAGCTATCATAAAGAAAATCTGATTTGATGTTTAGAATCTAGCTCACCGCTGTTTAAGAACCTAAACAAGCAAACAGTTTTGCTTTCTAGCACAAGAAATATCATTAAGCCTTCATAAATCACATCACAGTATATTCATACAGTTTTGATTATTTTGAATAACTGAGTGCACAAAAACATATTCATTAAACAAAACAATATACAGCTTTAAAAAAGTTGATACACACAGTAAATATAATATGGCCTTGGATATTTAAATAAAATTCTAGATTTATCAAGCACCACTGAAAAATAAAATTGTTGAAAAAAGATACTCATATTATATTGTAATGTAAAGATACGATACATGTTTCAAGAGAGGCCTTAATCACATCCAAAGTAAAATAGTTTATAAATAGAGGAGTAAAAGTAAACAGCTCCATATAAATATAACATACCAACCCTTTCCCATCCACTGACATCCAATGCATAGGCTTTCTGGGGAAAGGCACCTAAATGCATAGGCTTTCTGGGGAAAGGCACATAAATGCATAGGCTTTCTGGGGAAAGGCACCTAAATGCATAGGCTTTCTGGGGAAAGGCACCTAAATGCATAGGCTTTCTGGGGAAAGGCACATAAATGCATAGGCTTTCTGGGGAAAGGCACCTAAATGCATAGGCTATCTGGAGAAAAGCATTTAAATGAGTAGGCTTTCTGGGGAAAGGCACCTAAATGCATAGGCTTTCTGGAGAAAGGCACCTAAATGTATAGGCTTTCTGGAGAAAGGCACCAAAGGTGATTAGACCTGGTTGAATAGAATGCATTGAATTCTCCTATTGCATGGCCTTTTTGAAGACAGGCACCTAGTGTGATTAAATCTGGCTAGACAGAAAATATTGACTTCTCATAATGCAGACCTACAGTAAATTATTTCTATAACTTAAATTGTCATTAATTTGTATTGGGTCAATTATTATGCTGTTCCATTATTTAAATAAAAGGTTGAGTTTAAATGTGAACATAGTTTGTGCAGATCAAACATTTAAAAAAAAAGAATTTATTTTTGTATTGTTGAAAGACATTCACTAAGTTTTATCCACTAAGTGATAAAGAAAAAAAAATTCCTGTAAATTAATACAGTTCTTAATAAAAAATATTAGTCTTAAAGCAAAGTTTTTTTGTTCTTTTTCGGTTAACATATGTTTAATCTTTAAAAAAAAAAACACAAATAACATTAGAGTGATCTTAAAGAATTTCAGAAAAACGGAGTGTGTCTAAAAAAAAATATTAAAATTAAACAAATGTAAAATACAACCAAGTGTGTTAGAGACACTATGTAAAATAAAAAAGTAAAATGCAGACTGATGTCATACCATAGATAACTATAAAGTGAACATTTTGGATGATAGCCATCACAAAAAGACAGCAGAATGCATGCACATTGATGAATAATAGCAAATCAAAGAGGGTGTGTTCTGATGGCAGACCATAAGAGGTTGAAAGCATATAAAATGCTAACAAATCTAACAAAATGCTTAAAATGCTAAAAAATCTAACAAAATGCTGGGCAGATATGATTACTGACTGATTTTTTTAAAAAAAGAAAGAAAATGACTGGGACAAAATAGAAAGAAGAGGTATAAACTGTTTGTCTTCCATAATTTTAAACAAAGAGTTCAAACAGTAAACTAGGTCATGCATTTTTGAATTAATTTGTGACATCGTTTAAATAAGTCAATATAAATCGGAATTAATTCATACTCATGAGTAAATCACTGATGGTACAAAATATTATTAAAAAATACCATGGCCTCAACTTATAAAAAAATTAAGGAAAACTCAGAAATTAAAAAAAATAATTAGTTGGCATGCAATGGAAAAGTTTTTTTATAACATTTTTTAATCCTTAAGAATTAAGAAATTTCTTTTAAAAATAATAAAAAAATCTTAATTTTAGGACTTAACAATAATGAATTAAAAATGAATTTTAAAAAAAAAATAAATTTCAAGACACAACTAATGAAGGGTAATCGCCAAGTGTAAATAGCTTTACAGGGTATTAAATTTGGATGTGCTTAAGGTGTCTGGAATGATTTTTGCAAAAGGAAAGAAAATACTCTTTAGAAAAGTCCATCTCTTGTTGAAAGAAACGGTGCAGAATTTGATATTTACCCTTTTCCTATAGCAGCAGTTTTATATTTGAGCATATTCAAATAAGACAGAATAACATTAAGATGAGACTTCATCATTTTCAGAGTATCACAAATGTTGATTCATTAAAAAAAATTGAAAAACATTTAATTCTATAAAAAACTTAATAGCACCAGTTATGAAAAAATTTTTAATTAAAAATGTCATAGACCTAAGAAATACTCTCTTGGATAAATGTCGAAGAGTTCAAGGTAGAACATATTATTATTTATACACTCTGTGCATATACTATATACTGTACATATATATAAATCAAACTATAGTCCCCATGTGGAAAAATAAAGTGCATTGCAAGCTAACACATAAATTCCTCATCACTGTCATTGTAAAAAGAAGACTCATCATTATCATAGATGTAACCTTCTAACTTATCCACCTCGCCCAGCATCCATGGTGCACGTGTCATTACAACCATCATCAAGCGATCCAGGTACGACCTTTGACCTTTGAAATCCTTAATAAGATGCTCCATTATATCCAGGACCTCTTCCTGGGGAAAAACGAATTACCAGGTAATTGAAGAAAACGTACACAAGTTATTGGATGATCTAAATACATATAAAAAATGTTGAGAGCAAAACTCATTATACCAAAGATCAGATCAGTGGCGTTGCTATGGGAACAAAAATGGGACCAAGTTATGCATGTCTATTTATGGGCCATTTGGAACATCTTTGGAGAGAAAACTACAAAGGTCCTTTCCCAGAATACTGCATGAGATACATAGATGACAGTCTAGGGATAAGCAATATGGACATAACACAACTAGAAAGTTTTATTGACTTCATTGGACATTTTCATCCAACAATCATATTCACTTCAACGATCCATAAAAGTAATATCAATTTTTTGGACTTAAAAATTAACTTTAAAGAGATCATCATATCTAAGTCCATTTTCTATAAGAAAACAGACAGTCACAGTTTCTTACTATATTCATCATTCCATCCTCAATCATGCAAAAACTCCATCCCTTTTTCTCAGTTGCTGAGACTGAGAAGATTTTTGGGAAAGGATGGCTGAAATGTTGGATTTTTTCAGACGCAGGTTATATCCTGAACAAATTTGCCAGCAACTGTGGGTCCCTAAAGTATGAAAATTACTGATGTAATGCCATTCTTATGTACTGCTTGGAGCAGTGTGCAGAAATTTAGTTTTGAAGTGTGCTGCAAGACATGTGATTCATGCAGCTACAGCAGCCACAACTTTCTCCTCAATTCATACAGCTTGATTGGAAAAGACTCAATGAGGATTGGTTACAACTAATGGTTCTGTGCATTAAGATTTGGTTAAAATCATTTAAGAGTGATACAGGCTTAAAAAATTAGCTTCAAGTAAGCATTATAATTGAATGTGCAAACCTTTGTTACATCTGAAGATTTCAGGCTGTCTACACCTTGTTCCCAGTAATTGATCATGTTATCTTGAGGCACATTTGGATATTCTGCGCACACACACACACAAAAAAGGAATATTATAGGCACCAACTTTCATGCCACAATTTAATCATGCAATTATTTGCAATGCAAGTCTCAGATTGAATAAAAAAATTTTTGACTGGTCAACTTAAAAAAAAAAAAAACACCCAATAAAATTATTGTTTTGGGAAAATTCGAGACAAAAATCTATTTTATCCTTGCATATATTATAGAAATTATATTTTATTTCACATTCAATTTATATCATCATATTAATAACCCTATTTTCTTATTTTAAGAATGTGTCGATTTTACACCCTGAATTCTTTTGGATAATCTATTTTAAGTATATAGGAGCCTTTGTGATAAATTTTGTATCCTATAATATTATTATAGAAATTATATTTTATTTCACATTCAATTTTCCCACTTTTCTTTAATTCCATTAACCCACACCACTCTGATCTTTTAACTCCTGCATGTTAATAAGTTAAAAACCAATTAAAAACGTGAAGCACTGTTCAATTAAATTAATTGATATCAAGCAAGCTATGTTAAGCATTATTTAAGGCTCTTAAAAAAGATAAATAATTAAGATAAGAATAACTTATGCAGCAAAATGATCACAATGCTAGTGTCTAGACAATCCAATAAATGCAATGCAGAGATTAAAGACATTTGGGATGATGATTATGTTGTTTTCTTCTTACATCTTATCTAATTACCAAAAGAAAGTATTTGGGCTGATTGCTTATTTGAAATATGCCCATTGTATGAGATTTGTTTTTAAACAAGTTAATAGCTTTGCCACTATGGTACGTTTAGAAAATAAATAAAAATTATTATAAAAAAAAAAAAAATTAAATAAAAAGTGAAATTATAGAAAAAATTAAGAAAAAGTTATAATTTTTAAAATAAAGTAAGTTCTGCTGTCGAGAAGTTAAAAAGCTCAGTTCACTTAATAAAAAGAGAATTTATGAGAAGTAAATTAAAAATGATCACCTTCATTTCTTGAGTCCGAGGTGTTAAGGGCAGATTGCATTTGATGAAGGCAAGCCAGGGCAGCATCTCGTTCTGATCCAGCTGTCTGAAGTTCATTTTCCTTATAAGGAAAGAGATGGCTATGTGTTGAAATATATTCAATATGCTTATGTTATTATAAATGGTGTCAACCATATTTTCTGTGTACCCATCTGTTTTTTTTTGGTTTAAATATGGTTGATAAGATCACTATACTTTCTTAAATCTCTTTTTATTGTTGGCTAAGTTTTTCAAGTTTATCACCCTTACTAGAGATAAGCCAGCCAAGGATCTACTAAAGTTACTTGACCAAACACACTTACAAAAACGAACCAATTAGTGCTAGCTTCTGGAAAATTTATTTTCCGCGCCTATTGAACACAGCATTACAGCAATACATACATAGAGAATAATAATTTTTTTATCATTTACCTTGAAAAATGTCAGTTAATTAAAAATACTACTAAAATTTTATGGAGATATTTTGTTCAAAAATTGGTAATAAGTTTAACTCCAGTTCTCACCATTTGCCATAAGTTATCTCTCAAAGTTGAAAGTTCATTTTGTAATTTAATCAGCTGCTCTTGTGCACTGATTTTCTCCTTGAGGTTGACCAACAAATCTGGAGGTGATGACTGCATAATCTCCTCCATACCCAAGGGCTGTTCTTGCATGGATACTAGAATAGAGCGGAGTTTTGCCCACTTTTGTTCAGTCACTCCAGTCTATTTAAACAGAGTAAATTTATTATTTGGTTGTTTATGAATAGCGATCAACCTCATTAACTTATGCATTATTGAAATTATTCAAAACTTCACAAATATACTAAAACTAATGTTTTCTTTTTACTGCATTTTTCTTCTTCTTTCTTTATTATATTTGAGCGGCCCACGATCAATTTGTTGATCATTCTGGCTCCTGGTTTAAATTCAGAGTTTGCCCTCTCTTAGATGGGTTGCCGTCCTAGGCTAACGGGTCCCATCCCCCCGGGGTGCTTGGGATAATGACTTTGGTGGGGATTGAACTCCAGACCACCAACTATTTGGTTTGAGACAGTTTAGACCGCTCGGCCATCCAGCACCTTTTCAGCCTGGTTTCCAAAATTAGTGCTGGTTGGCCAAGCTTGTGGTCTGGAGTTCAATCCCCACTAAAGACCCATTAAAGCAAAAAACACCCCCAGAAACCCGGATGGATGGGACCCACTAACTTTGGATGGCAGTTCATCTAAGAGAAGGTTAACTTTGAATTAAAACGCGGAGATGGATTCCGTAAGCGGATAACATTGAAGTAATGAAAAATTCTGACAACTCCTGTATTGCTAAGCTGTATCAACCACATATCCTGTTTCCTTGGGTTATCCAGGTGCCTGCTGTCTAAAGAAAAATCCCAGGCCTTGTGATTTCATCTTTCGAAGTCTACACCATTATCAAATTGTGACAGACGGATGCCAAAATTTTTTTTTAAAATTGCCCAAATTCCCTGCCCTAACACCTTCCACCATTCCTTCCCAATATTCCTACAATTAGGACCAATAATTATTGGGTAGGTTTTTAACATTTTTAATCGCCTTTTCTTATTTCCCCATCACTAACCACCCCCAACCCCTCCACCCAGCGTACTGGAGCTGTAACACTGTGTCATCAACTCAGATAACTGAATAAATGGAATGAGATGTCACATGTGTAAAAAGTAAACAAAAAACAATAACGCTGGACAAACACACGATGGAAACGTGAGTATATAACCTACCTGGTTTACCTGAAAATGACTTCTAGTGTCTAACAGGGGTTCACTTCCTCTATTTATTATGAAAAAGAAAATTTAAAATTTATATTTTCCTTTTGTAATCCATTTTTTTAGAAGCTTTATAATTTCTGTCAGTTATGGTTAAGGTATTATAAGAAAAAGGGTTCAATGATTGATATAATTACTGCTTACTTTTAACTTTATGCCAATCCTCATTGAAATATTATACAGATACACATTACAATTAAAAAAGTTTAATTAATTAACAGATCTTAATTGTTTTGTAAATTGAAATTTACTCAGTTTTAAAAGAATGCAAAATTGTATACCTCCTTGTGTGTCCCTGTTGGAAATCAGATCTCATTATCATCTGAGTGCTAAAATATTTCTTCAGAGTCAAATTTGGGGAAGATGTGACTGACTTTGATTTGGTTGTCTTTGACTTGGAAGGGGACAAGGTGAAATTTTTTGCCTGATCAGGTGACGTCTTCACTACAGCTGGAGGAGTCGTTAGCTTTGATCGTGCCAGTGGCTTGGGACTTAAGGTTGGACTTTGCAGGGCTTGGTCTAAATGTTGCAAAGGTGATAGGTGTAAGTCATTGTGACTTATGCTTTTATCCAAAAAAGTACTGTATTTCTGAGGACTGGAAGAGTTAGACTGATCTGTGTGTCTCCTCAGAGTTGGAGAAATTTCCTAAGAAATATAAGAATAAACGTCCGTGGTGACGAGTTGAAGATAAATTTTCACTAGGTTAGCTAGTTATTTGCCTTCAATTGTTTGGTAATCACTAAAAAAAACAACAACTTAACAGATAATAAGTAGCAATTCCTCTATCATAACTCAGGCAAGTTTTACTGTATTATAATTATAAAATTCATTATCTCTATTCATCTATAAAAATAATATGAAGGAGTAAAATATTAAACGACATCCCCCCCCCTCATTTTAATTTATTTGCCTTGTATTATGTATACTATTATTAGCATTAAACGTGTAGTGATGCAGATGACCCGTTTATAAACATCCATATTATGCAGTCACAAGATCTTGGACTGGCATCTCTTTGCTACCTCGATACTGCCAAGTATACTGTCAGCGGTTCTGGCTCCAGTTGTCTGGCCCATGATTCTCATTAACACTCTCAGCACACAGGAACAACAGGACACCCTTTTCCAATGACACATGTCTTGTAATGCAACAATCCAAGTAATAACTCAATGTCAAGCAGGCCTCAATGTTGTGAAATATCTGTGCATAGTACACACAAGTAAATCCCTTGTTTAAATTCTAAATTTAAAGTCCTCTACAGTTCAACAGCACACTCTTGAGGCACAACCCTCTATCCCTTCAAAGGTTGGTCTTCAATTCCCCAATAAAAAAGTTCTACACTCCTCCTTATACGAAACGACATCAGGAATACATAAATGTGTCATTAAACAACACCAGCACATAAAGCACACTTACACCCTTGACTAAAAAGGGTCTAATTGACTCACCAAACAGACCAAAATCATACGGGACATGTACTTAATTATGACACACGTCATAGACCTACTAGTCATATGCTGTGAGTTATTAATCAATAGATGACGTAAACAGAGTGTCACATTTTGCAGTTAACAAAATTCCACTTGAGAAACTCACTTTAAATGACAATGATGTGTAAGTTTCCAATATGTAGCACAAGATTAAAGATTTGTGTTACCGTACTCACAGAAAATAGGTTCTTCATTTCACCATCCAGCTCTGTTGCTAAAAAAACTTCTTGATCCTCTTCATTTTTGTTTGCAGAGGGTGAAAAATGTGTCTGTTCTGGCTCACTTTCTGAATTGCTATTAAGTGAAAGTTTCTGAAAATGCAGGAAGTAATGGCTTTTAATGTTACCCTCTTTAATTATCAACTAAACACCGAGTATGTTGGAATTCAAGTTAACAAAATGTATAAGATAAAATAATTTTAAAAAAAACAAGACAAAAAAATGTTTGCTGGTAAGCAATGTTCCCGGCTGCGTGGCCCCGCAGCTATCTCACAGATGCCCTGCAGCAGTTTTGAGTACTGCGCAGCAAATTTTGATATAAGTGAGTGTTTGTGGGCTGTAAAATTTTGCAAAAAAAAATTAAAGCTGTAAAATTTTGCACACAACTGTATGATTTTGCACACGAACCAAAAAACCTTAGAGGGAACATTGCTGGTAAGTGATCTATCATGTAGGCTAATCATAGGACAGAAATTATATTTGAAAAAGAAAAGGACATGAAAACAACTTACAATAAAAAGTAGCTTGTTGAGCGCAGCATCCTGCTCTTCTGGACGTGATCTTCTGAGGCCCGACATAGTCTACTCTAAATTTAGTTTTGAATATTTTCTTCTAATTATTTTGATCACTTGATAATGATGGCGAATGAATGCTTGCATATCTCAAATTTGTGGGGCACCTGTCAAAGTTAGACAGTTAAAATGTCAATCATGAAACATCATCCATCACATTCAGATAAATCCGAGTGCTTCCTGGTTTTTGTACTTATCTTTAACTAGTTGTAACACTCTATAAAAAATGGCAGGTGATTTTCTTTTCTAACTGGGAGCAGAGTGTAAAGGGGTGAAATGAAAATATATATATTCATCGCTTATTTGTTAATTTGTAATTATGTTTAACAAATATGCTCAGTTCTGTCCTTGTTTTTTCTAGGCCAGTATCGAAAATCAGTCTCTAAGACTACCTCAAATCATTTAATTTTAATTAACTGATACTTCCACTTCAAGTGTTTTTTAACGTATTGGAATTTTTATATTACTATTACTCAGTGGTCAACTTTATTTAAAACCATTCACCAACAGATCACCATGTTTATTTGAAAAATTTTCAAGTATTACCAAAATTATCTGCATGCTGCCACTAATACTATCATTAGCCTTCTTAGGCCTACATAATAATAATTATCAATAAGCCTCTTTTCTTATTATAAGAATGTGTCGATTTTACACCCTGAATTCTTTTGAATAATCTATCTTAAGTATATAGGAGCCATTGTGATAAATTTTGTATCCTATAATATTCAAATTAACATATTACTGGTTTTCAGTGCTTCTCAGCAACTCTGAAAAAGAATCTGTTTAAGTGTCCTAAGAAGGGAGAATGGCAGAGGTAGCAGTCAGCCCTTAGGGGCACTTTTCTTTCCACACTGAGAAGCGGCATCTTACGGCATAATGTAGGGATTTTTTTTCGTGGAAGGGGGCAGCAAAAAAACTTGGCCCTCTGTGGGCAGCACTAACTCTTGATATGCCATTGATTTTTTGAATAATCTTTCAATCTCACCAAAAACCCGTTTTCCCTTCACAAATTTACCCTTATATTTACACCCACTGAAATTATGAATTATAAATTTCCACAAAAACATTAGATCCACAAAACTGCTCACTCTCAAGCACAGAAACATTATGCAAATCTCCTTACAGTAAAACATCCAATCCAACACTGCCAAAGGGCATACTATAAATACTCAAGTCATCCATAATATGATCACTATAGTATTAGTATCAGTCAGGGAAAGGAGGTTGAAGGGGGCACTCACACAGGGCGACTATATTACTATATCAGGGGGCATAAAAAAAAAAAGATCTTTATGTACGACATTTAAAGTGAATTAAACTACAAAATGACATGTACTTCACAAAGACAAGGGGTGCGAAAAATCGTCTTTTTACTGGTCTGCTTGGGCAGCACTTTATTCTATGTATTGGTGGGCGCTATTTTAAGCTTTGCCCCAGATGCTGGTTTTCCATAGCCAGCCCTAATATTAGTATCACTGTTATCAGTTGGATACACTTTTAAATCCATGAGTGTGTCATTAGATTTAGGTGAACATCAATGATGCTCAACCTGCTGTCACTAAACTAAGATTGTACTTTACACTATGACTATGTTATTTAACAAGGCTGCCATGACTGTTGTCTTGACAACAGCCATTCAAACCAATCAGTAGGATTAGTTTAAGTGTTTTCACCACTTTGGAAAAGCATAGGTAGAGGCAAAGTTGCATCCATTATCCAATCAATCACACTGAATTCTTTTACTCTGTTGCTTTAATTTGTACCAAAATCTAATGTTTTAAAATAAGCCTCCACGTTAGTTCGCTGATACTGCCTATTTCAAAACTTCTTGTTATCAATTTATAATAATATAAGTAATAGTTATTGATATACTGTTATTATTGGATATAAATTTAAAAAAAACACGAGCATAATCACATTATAACATGCTAGCAGCTAGATGATAGAATGATAGGCTTAAGCATGGATCTGCAAAAAAGAAATTTGATAGTGAACCAAGGAATATGGGATGAAAAAACATAAAAAGAAAATACTCAAAAAAAAAAAGATTCATGTAATCATTCACTCTCAATCGACTCAGTCAGTGTGACTCAGTGATAATAATTAAATGGCAAGACGCAAAGTAAATAAAATGCTTACTTACCATTGTGCCTACTTACTACTTATTAATAAGCATACATCATCCATTTGATGTCTCAATTTGAATTGATTTATCATGATTCTCACATTTTCTCAGCTGCTACCCAAATCGTTCTAACATACATGACAAATAATAATTATTTAATTCTCTATGGACTCTTGATATGTATTCAAACATTGTATTTATGGCTGTTATGCTGTGGTCAATACTGTCAATAGGCATAGGAGCACAAAATTGAATTTCCAGAAGTTAATATTAATTGATAATTGAGATTCTTTATAAAGTGATATTTGAAGATAAAAACATGTTTTGTCAAGTAACTTTATTTAGAAGAAAATATATGAGGGACTGTGTTAATGAAGTTAATGATAGTAAGTATAAGTTAGTGTGTTCAAGACAAGCAAAGTTTAGGCTTATGCTTGAAAAAAAAAAAGAAGGGAGGAACAATTTAAAGGACATTTCGGCTCGATGCTTTCTTCAGCAGACAATACAAAAGAATATATTATTTCAATTAAAATTAAAACCTAAACTCATTTAAGTTAAGTTAATTAGTTAATATCATTAAAATAACTATTAAGGGTTCCAAGCTACATATAATTATAATATAATATAAGCATACAAAAAGTCACAACCATGACAATGAATGTTCAAGTCATTTTGTATATTACTTGTATTATAATAAATTATACTGTATAAAGTATAAGTTATATAGATAAAAATTGGCATTGGCTAAAAATTACCGGTACATGCATTTCTAGTAAAATAATTAATTTAAAAAAATTAATATAAACTTATTAAGCGATGGATTCATTTTAAATATATTTTCCAGCCATCTTTAGTCTTTACTATTTATTTTAGAATAAGAATGAGTATAACTGAGATTTTATTAAGTTAAGAAATTAAGAGTAGTTTACGTTTACACTTAAATTAAATTAAAGTTAAAATGCACTTTATCGAAATTGCCCCCTCTTTTGTGTCACTCATTCTCTCACTACCTCTTTGGAAAGAATGTTTGTCATTTAGTCAAGTTTAATCTCACTTTTCTATTTAAAAAAAAAAATCATTATTTTTCAAAGATATTTAGATTATTACAATTACAAGTTATAAATTTAGTCACTTCGGCAGGTGCAGTAGGCTCCCTTGAATAATAAGTGGTAGTAGCAATCACATTAAATACACGACTAAACTTGAGTTTAAATTTAACTAGTTATATGTACGGAGTCATTTGCTATTTTTAGAGCCCCGCTAAATTTGGATTGCTGCAACTTGCAACTTGGATTGAGTGGAACTGGTTGGACGGTACGATATTTATAACTATAACCAATAATCATTAGGTTTTTATAATTTTTTAGGTATTTTCACAAAATGTATTGGTATTATTATTTATTAGCATGCTAGTCTAAGGTGATAAAATATAAATGATATAAATATGTAGTAGTAGTACTAGTAGTTGGCTAAGTAACAAGTCTTAGTAAGTAAGGCAAGGCAGTGTAAGTAATTAGTAAGGCTTAGCTAATAATCGGACAGTCCGCTGGGTATAATTAATAATAATTAATAATTATAATGGATTAAAAACTCCATAATTGATTAATCAAGTGGCAAACTGGTGATTTGATGTGATCGTTTACTCGGACTCAAGATCTGCTCTCCAGATCTAGGGAAAGAGATCAGGTACCACTCACCTAGTTGACACCATTATGACGTGTGCAGTGCAAGAACTAGAAAAGGCAAGGTGATACTGATAGTGAATAGTGATAGTAGTAAGTAGTGCAATGGATCCCAGGGCATGTCAACGTCAATGGCAGTGAGAAAGAGGACACTCTGGCGAAAACCGGGGCTGCCCAGCCTCAGCCAGAAGTACCAATAACTTATTTGGGAATAAAGAACTGCCTGGCAGACCATTTCAGATGAAAATGAATGTCAAAATAGAAATATCAACATAAAGATGAAAGTGATTCTGATACTAGTTCACTTACTGTAATCCTAAAATACCTTTTGCAGACTTGAGCTCCACAAAGAATTGTGTAATAAGATGATGCTAGTTGTACCGCCAGATGGTGCTATGCATAATCTCTCCCAGAGGACATAAAGCACATATTTCATGGCGGGTATGTCAATATTATAAAAGCAGGTATATTAAAAATCACTGCAATCTACTGGAAGCACAGATAGTCAAAGACTTCTCCAATGATCAAATTTCCAGGCTATTGCAAAGGATGAGTGAGAATGAATTCATCAACATTGTAAATCAAACCATACCAAGCCAATGGATCATACGAAATGTATCATCCTAGCCACTATTTTAAACAAAATATACATGTGAGAAAAGATTTTCCTTGATAACCAAAAAACATTGTTGAAATAGCATTAGACTTAGAACAATAAAATCAGTTAACAACTTTGCTACCGATGACGTCAAAGCGACGTCACGATCACCCACTTTCAATTACCAAGGACATCACATTGTCGTCATAACAAAAAGTCAAAGAACTTTTCTGAACAAGAACGTCACGTCGACATCATATTTCAATGCTATATTATTTCCTTATTCGTTAATCTATAGAGAAGTTAAAAAGCGAATCGGATATAGAATGAAATATACCGAAAATTTCACCTTTTAAAAAGTTTTTTATTGCTGAGTCAGAAAAAATCGATGCCAAAACCCAGTGGTAACGAAAGGGTTAATAGATCAAAATTCAATGTAATCTGATACACTTGATTGACATTTGTTTTTCCTAGACATTTATAAGATTTAATATACATAGATTGTACTCTTTATGTGTGTGTGTAAATTAATATTTGTATCTTTCAAAGGATTGTAATTTTTCACTTGCTGTGCTTTAAATTGATATAGTTTTATTTCTGTATATTTTTTTAGAGCCCTGCTAAATTTGGATTGCAACTTGGATTTTTTAAAAATTGTTTAATCATGTCACACCACTACTTCATTCACTTCATCAGCTCCCTGTACAAGCACGGATTGACTACAAACTCTCTGTTCTCTGCCACAACTTTTTCTCGAATTCCTGCCCTTTCTATATAACTGAACTTCTCTGTCTATTCACCCTTTCAACAGCTTTGCTCCTCCACAGAGGGGCATATTCTTTCTGTTCCCAAGATTCGCACAAAAATATACGGTGAATGAAATTTCTCTTTCTGTGTCCCAAAACAATGGAATTCTCTTCCACAAATTACACATTCGCAATATACCGACCATCACAGCCTTCAAAGCTGCACTCAAAACACATCTCTTTAAACTCTACTATCCTGACTGATCCCCCCACCCCCCCCCCCCGACAAAAAAAAAAGATGTAGCTGTCCATGGCTGGACATGTAAATAGTTCTTGAATGTGTGGAGTGAATATACAGTTGATTTATTTAAATAATATATTTTAAGTTCATGATTATGTTTGTTAAAGTGTATGTACAGCCTGGTGAGCCCAGCCCTAGGCTGGGGTACTGCTCTATATAAAAACACTAATAATAATAATATTTGTATTTTTATATTAATTTAATAGTATAATTAAATTGAGTATTGTTAGTATCACTAGTTTTGACATCATTTTCTTCGTATACAGATTTTCAATTCTTTGTTACATGTTCATTGTTGCTCATTTAATGATCCAAATCTGAAGAAAAAAAAACAGATTAATTTTCAAAAACATATCATGGTATGAAAAAACATTACTCATATAAAATCTTACTAAACTTGTGTCTTTTTTTATCAAGAGTGATTTGTGAAATATTGGATGATAAAATTGAAGTTTGCCCTAAGTTTCATTGGATATTTTCTAGATTTTATTAAATTCATATAAGAATATTCTTGGATTCCCAAAGAGACCACATCATACGTTCTGTTGATTTATGCTCACCTCTTACATGAGATCACAGCTTTCTAATTCTATTCTTGTTTTATTCAAAAAGACAAGCAGTTGTTCTTGAATAGCAATGAAAGTGAACTTTGAATATGCTTTAGGAGTTTATAAAACAATATGTTATTCAGCCAAAACAAACCCAAGCATCTCATTAGTTGAAATCATTATTTTTGTATGCCCTTTGTTTATTTAGTGTGTATACTTTTTGTGATAATTTCATCTTATATTTTTAATATTGAACCATAAAAGTCGTACTGGCTCATGTTAGTCTCACACATATATGCCGACCCTGAAAGTCAATATTTTGTGTTAGTATTTTTTAACTTTTGGTGTGCCACAAAATTTTGGAAGAACCTGGCTGTGATGCATAGAAAACATGTTGCAGAGCTATGCTGTAAACTGTAGGGCGTAATATCTTATATTTTTTCCTAAAATATAACGATATTCATATTAGCCTACTGAAAATAATTTGATATTAAATTTGATATTAAATTAAGCCTACTATTTATACTGCTCTTTAAAAAGTTTAAAGGCCTCATTAATTTAGTAAAGTATTTTCATTGATTTATAATAGAACTTGTATGTTTGATAAATTCATATGATTTCAAAATTCAAATGATTTAGGCCTAATGATTCCCTATTTATTTGCAATTTATAGACTATAACCAATATTAAAAATTAATCCTGCCTCTGTTTCAGGTAAACTGCATTTCTTAACAAAAAAATCTTCAGACTTTGAATACTTGATGTAAAAAAAAACATTAAAAAAAAAAACATTTATAATTGCAATCAAATGATAATTCAAGATGTACAAATTAAAAGAATGGTATGCTGGGGCTCTGACAAGGGTAAGTATTAAGCATACTATAATTTGAAAGAACAAACAAAGTATTTATATTAATATTTACAATAATATTCAGACATGCATATTCTTTCTGTTCCAAGAACACGCACTGAAACGATCTTTCTGTGCCCCAAAACAATGGAATTCTCTCCCATTACACATCCACACTATAACGACCATTACAGCCGTCAAAACTGCCCTTAAGCCCATTTCTTCAAACTGTACTATACCGACTCATTCTCACGCCCCTCTGTCTGATAAACAACGCTTGATTCTGCTGTGTGCTGTCCATGGCTAGACAGGAGTAGATAGTAGTTGGGTGGATGATATCAGGCTTTTCACCAATTATTGTTTTTAAATGTATACGTTTATGTAATTGCTAATTTTTATGTGAAAGGCAGTGAGCCAAGCCCTAGGCTGGGTACTGCGCTATATAAAAACCACCTAATAATAATAATAATAATGCTAGAATGCGCAGAACGTTTGTGCGGAACAGTAGGGCTTGAATAAAATTAGTTTTTAAACGAAAATATCATTAAAACACAACACTGCAGAGCTACGCTACACATTTTAATCCTGCGATATATAGCAGAAATTCTGCTATAAAAAAATTAAATATATACTAGTAAAAAATCTGTGATAGAGGGATCACTGTACCTTTATATTAATAAAAATCAAATAAGTTCAAAGAATCCTTAAAAAGTATTATTGTCACTTACATTTTTTGTTGTCAATGAATTTTGTCTATTTAGATCTATATTTATACTTCATATCAACTAACAAAATTTAAACTGACAGAATCATCTGACATCAGTGTGGCACTTCTTCCACTCCTGTTATATTTATTCTTAAAATCAACTTTACACTTGTCAATAAATTCAGACTCATATATATAATTTTTAAAAATAAGCATCATAAACATATCACAATGGTTTATGAATATTAAGTTGTATTTTTTTTTCAAAACATAGTAATAATTGTTGGCCCATTGCATTTACAGAGCAAAGCAGCAATACAAGTGCTTGTTCAAGGAGAAATCTCTAATGATTTGACAGTTGAACTGGCTGACATGAAAAAAGACCATGTAAAATGTTTAAAAATATGTATGCTTATTACTTGTCATATGCTTTGAAATTTAATTTTGGCCAAGTCACAAGCATGTCAAGTCTAGGAGAAAATTTATGAAAACTTGCCATAAAATATAACCAGATAATGATAATATTACAGGTATCCAAAGTATTCCATTGCATTAAAAAAAATGTACATGGCTTAAAAGATATCAATTAATGAAATGTTTTTCCAAACCAGTCATTGTTTTATTAGTTTTAATGGGATATGATCCATGTTTGAAAGTTTTGTATACTATATTATATATAATCCAAAAAAGAATGTCTTTGACAATGCATTTGAAGTTATTCAATTTGGAGCATTCTTTGACCCAATTCATATTGTTTTCCCAGGATTATACTGACTCCCTTAATGTTCCAAAAGAGAATCGAACCAACATTGAAGATCATATATGTATGCAGTGCAGAGAACCCAGCTTTCACTGTGTTGTTGTCAATGGGAGCAGTGTTGACCAGTTTTATAAAACAAGAATAAATAATAACCAGTTTGAAAAGTAGGACTTTTAAAGTCTTCAATTATATTTAAATGCTGAGCTAAATCATAAGGATATTCAAACAACAAAAACAGTAAACTGAATTTTTTTGTGGTTTAGTTAGAAAATGTATAACTTAGATTCACATATTATATGAATATATAACTTTATTCCTCTTGGTGTTGTCTGGGAACATTTCAGCTAAGTTTTTAATTTTATATTTGTTCCTCTTTGTTTTTACTATTCACTGAAGAAGGCTTCTTGGAAACACATTTGTTGTTTTGTGGCATCCTTTTTTCATGTTTTCTCCTACCTTGCTCTATATATTTCATTTTAACTTAAATTACAACACAATAAACTTCAGTGAACATTTAAATTCAAAACGTAAAGCTTATGCAAAAAATGATTATATTTCTTTTTACTCTTAGAAATAACCTGACAATGGAAGTGTCAACTCAGACTTGTTCAATGCCACTGTCTCCACTATCAGCTCTACCAGATCTTTTGAGCTCGACCACCTCCACTGCAGTGTCTAGCAGGCTCCTTCCTGTGCCTCCCCCCCCCCCCCCCCCCCCCCCCCCCCCCCCCCCCCCCCCCCCCCCCCCCCCAAAACGTAAAGCTTATGCAAAAAATGATTATATTTCTTTTTACTCTTAGAAATAACCTGACAATGGAAGTGTCAACTCAGACTTGTTCAATGCCACTGTCTCCACTATCAGCTCTACCAGATCTTTCGAGCTCGACCACCTCCACTGCAGTGTCTAGCAGGCTCCTTCCTGTGCCTCCCCCACCACCCCCGCCGCCTCCTCCTCCTCCCCCACCACCCCCACTCCCTCCTGTATCTTTAGCATTGGGAGGGGCATTAAAACTGAACTCAAGTGCCAAAAAGAAAACAGTAAAGAAAAGAAAGGTTTGATTTTTTTTCTTCTTTGTTTAACCAGGCTTTCAAGTTGGAGATGTAAACAGACTCCCACTGTACTTTGTTTTAATTCTAAATCAGGTTTATGTACCAATTTCACAAAAAAAAAAATACTTTACAAAGTTTAATGTTTAATTTTGTGTGTGTGGTTTTTCGAACAAACATCTTTATTACAATTTTCCATTCAAACAAATTTCTTTTGTACAAAGTTCTGGATACGCTTCTTTTCTGTTAAAAGTTCATACAAACTTTATAAATTGAAATTTCTCAGAGAAATTTTTTGAGCATGTCTGATTCAATTTTTTACAGAAAAAAAAAGTATTTGATTCAGTATTCAGTGACTTCCCAACCTCAAATAATATAAAAAGGCAAGTTGAAGGTTTAGGCAACCAGCCTTGTGTTGGTTTTGTGAGCAAATGTGAGTTAAAATTTCTTAACTTGTTTAGCTCTATAACTTATATAATTATTTCTACAGTCTGGTGGTCATCCAGTTGTACCTGAGATCACAGCTGAAGCTCTGAAAAATGTAAAACTGAAGAAACCAGAGGACAGAGTGCTCAGATCCCATTCTCAAATCAATGTTGATGAGAGTCCGCCTGTGGTACTATTAAATTTCAAATTTATCAAATTCATCAAATTCTTGTCTCTTGTCCAATGTTATTGAAAGGCATGTAGACAAATATTGTAAGCATTAACATATATATGCTTATAGTGATTGATAATAAAGGGATTTAACAAGAATATTTTATGGAGTATTTTGTGGAAGAGGTTTTTATTATTCAAAGCTGTCAGATTTTTGTACATTAAAAAAAAAAAAGACAGCATTAGTTAGCTAATCTAATACCAAGGATTTACTTAACTTAGGATAAAAATAAAATATTTCTTCTTACCATTTTAGACTGCAGCAGTCTGTGGACAGCCAGCCATCACTCTTGGAACTTTACAGGCGGTAACACTCAGAAAAACATCCGCCTTAAGCAGCAAAAATAATTCACCCCAAAACGAAAACATAGAATGTCGTCCCGGAGAAGTGTTTGATGTTAAAAGATTTCTGAAAAGAACAAGACTTGACAGGAGCCCAGGAGGCACACCTATTCCATTTAATAAAAGAAAGAAACAACCACATGAGAGTCACACACCTGTATCTAAGAAATAATTCTATGATACCCTAACATTATTTTTTAATAATATAGCGATGACAAAAAAAAACAAAAAAACTTTAAATTTTAACTAGTATTTTAAATATGTACTCATATTGAAGATGTAACTATAGTGGAAACAGGATTTTTTAAAAGTTATTTTGATTATTGTATTTTTCTATTTAGTTTAAGAATCATTCTGTCATTTACCTCATTTTATGTTTTCCCTGTCACATAAAAAAATCATCTATGTACTGGTATTAATTTTAAAAAATCAGATTTATTTGCTCGTTATGATATTATGCCCACTTATCAGTTACAATGCAGGTCTAACTGAAAATGACATAGAAAGTACTGCTCCTTTTTAAATAATTTTATTATAGGGGTTTCAGAGTTTTAGAACAATAATTGTAATTAAAATAGATGCATTTGCAATCATGTAATTCAAATATATTTATGTGTGTGAATGCTCAATATGGAAACTTTGATGTCTTTAGTGTTTATTCAAGTAATAATATTTGGTTCTCGTGGTGAATTAAAAAAACAATATTTTTATTATTTATACTCTACCCCAGATGTTCTCAAAATTTAAATTAGATTGGCTTGAAAATCCATCAAATACTTTCTTCTCTTTGAAAACCACTGTGTGTGCATAACATTGTGTTTTTTAACTAGATGGGACTTTAAGAAAATGAAAGTTCCACTTGATTTTATTTGGATAATTTTTTTCATTTATGATATCTCAGTTCATTATTCCCTTTCTAATTTCTAATGACCATTTTTACATTAGAATTTGAAAAAAAAAATAATTGTGTTAATTAGTTCAATAATAAATGATAGTGTATATTAATTGTTCGTTATCAGTGTATATTAATTATTCGTTCATCAGTTAGCCATAGCCACCATTTTTTTTTAGTCCAAAGAAAGATTTGTTGTTTGTTAAATTTTACTTTTTTTCTGCATTTACCCTTAGCAAGCTTATACATGGAATTATTTCCAGTCTTTCATTCAATTCTTCCATGTTACTGTATTTATCAAAATTTATTTATCATAAGTTAATATAAGTATATGCTATTGTATTCAAGAATAAAGGAACTTTTGAAGGTTATTTTTTTAAAGTATTGCTTTTTATTGCTGTATGTTCATAGTTTTGTTGTAAAAAGAAATATAAATTGAAGTACATTTGAAATATATGAGCACCAAATCTGGGAAATGAGCAACATCCGAAAGCAAATATAAAACTGAAGTAAAATTATCCACCAATCTTGCCATTTCAGATGTCCCCGTTATTCACTCTAATTATAAAAACTGCAGTGTTTGAATACTCTTGTCATGTCACACAACTGGACCTCAATAAATCTGCCCCAGTTTTCACTTTGCTGACATAAATACATCATTTAATAAAAATAAAAGTTGGATGAAACATTTGTTCCCAAGTCACCTTTCCCTTTTTTCTCGCCATATATGTTTTTTCCCCAACAGTTTTTCATCATCATCAGTGGCACAACAGCCCATGTAGGGCCCTGACTTGCTCCACCACATCCTTTCATTCGGAACAATCCATGGCGTTCCGCCGCACTGCGTGAACCCCAACTGGTGTAAATCCTTCTCTACATCGTCGATCCATCTCTGCTTTGGGCGATCATTGAGATGTCTGCCCATAGGGTTCTCCGATGGAGAATGTCCTCAGATTAACGTGATGTGAAACGTTTTACCTCTTATCCGTATGGAGCAATCTTTCACTACTGGTTTAAACACAATGACTGCATTTACTGTCTCTATTTTGACTGCAAACCCTGTTTCTAAGGTGTTTGTGTTGTTTCCACTGTAAAATATTGTATACTCCTTAGTACTTAGGATATCCAAGTCTTTCCATCTGATCTCCTGCAGTGCCGCAACCCCGATTCTATATCTCAGCAATTCGACACTGAGGCGGGCCAATGCTCCTTCTCTGTATAGACTAAGTACATTCCAGGTCGCTATCCGTGAATCATATTTTTCTTCAGGCTTGGGTCGAAATCAAAATTATCAGTTATCAGTCCGTTTTTTTTTTGTATGTGGTTTAGCTTTTGTAACACTTGCTTTTTTACGTGACAGGGTCATCAGCCCTGTGCACAACCATCTGGGGGATGCCCTTGCAGCTCTCAGGGTAGCTGCCTTTGTATTGGGTTGGGTCCCCATGTGGATCCCTCCGCTTCCTAAAAGGCGGTAGGTACTGATTTTGGTCTGCCCTGGGTATTTTATTTCCTCGGTACCCGCCATATCTGGTGAGCTTTCCCCTATCCGTCACCTGGGGAGGCGGTCGATAGAAGATCAGTATCTCCTCACAGGCAACAGTGTTTTCCAACCTTATAACCCCATTCCATGCTCCAATGGTGTTAGGACCGACAGTTCGTTCCAGGTTGCACATTTTTGGGATGACTACATTTTTGGTCTGCTGATGTGTTCACTGCAAACATTGAGAGGTGGCAAAGACAAGGAACAGAAACTCAAATTACTCCACTGTTTTCCCCAGTCTCCCCACCACCCTCACAGTGCACAAGATAAAAAGGTTTCAATTATGGTGTTTGAAATATTGAATTTCCATATCTCTGAGCCTCAAGATTTAACATTGAGGGATAAAGCATGGGCTACATAAGTGATATATAATTGTATTAAAATAATAATTGACAATGGTTTGGTTTTAAAAAGTACTTGTTTAACATTGTGACCCCCTCATTCAGACACGCTTTCATCTTTAAAAAAAAAATGTAATCCATTTCATCTTAGATCATGCAACCCACCCCACCCCCCC